AGGTGCATGAAATAAGTTCACACTTATTTTTGTTGGGAGCACACTGACTTGATAGTGCTTAGGTGTTTCAAAAAGCATTATTCATTTCAACAAAGTTATCAAATAAAACAATACTGTGCTATAAAACTAACAACAGTTTTTAAAAACTGTATACATTAATATTATTATACATTGTAAAATGTGGCATGTTTAGATTTATTATAGTAGGCAAATTAACTAATTGATATGCATGGATTTATTAAAAACTATAATTCGCCCAAACAAACAGCAAGCATGTATCAAATTTCATAATATTTTATTTCATTTGTACAAACAGCTGTGAAGAAAGACAAAAAACATTATGAAGCCAGTTAATTATATGTAAAGCACAGACTTGAAGAAAATCACTAATCAGATATCTGTGTGTCAAGTTGCATTCAATCCAAGTGTTTCTTGATATATTGGTGAACACACACATAAGAAAAAACAACATTACCTTCTCTTTTTCTATCAATGACGGTATAAAGCTACGTTTGTGTTCAGGTCTCCTGGTAACAGGATGAATCATAGTTTCTTTAGTAAAGAAATCTACATAGGGTTCATATGGATCATATTCAACTTGTGGATACCTTCCTTTCTCTATTCGTTCTATAATATCAAGTTCCTCATCTGTTAAAACAACATTTTCTCCAGTCATTTTGTTTTTCACTGTTATCCTGAAAAAGACAAAATAGAAATAATAATTTAAATAGAATACAATACCATTAATAGTAATAACAGATATTATGAAAATATATAAATAAAAGACAAATATTGACTGAAGCTAGCAACCAGTACTACCATCATCTAAAGCTATCAACCAGTACTACCATCATCTAAAGCTAGTAACCAGTACTACCATCATCTAAAGCTAGCAACCAGTACTACCATCATCTAAAGCTATCAACCAGTACTACCAACATCTAAAGCTAGCAACCAGTACTACCATCATCTAAAGCTAGCAACCAGTACTACCATCATCTAAAGCCAGTAACCAGTACTACCATCATCTAAAGCTAGCAACCAATACTACCATCATCTAAAGCTAGCAACCAGTACTACCATCATCTAAAGCTAGCACCAGTACTACCATCATCTAAAGCTAGCAACCAGTACTACCATCATCTAAAGCTAGCAACCAGTACTACCATCATCTAAAGTTATCAACCAGTACTACCATCATCTAAAGCTAGTAACCAGTACTACCATCATCTAAAGCTAGCAACCAGTACTACCATCATCTAAAGCTAGCAACCAGTACTACCATCATCTAAAGCTAGCAACCAATACTACCATCATCTAAAGCTAGAAACCAGTACCACCCTCATCTAAAGCTAGCGACCAGTACTACCAACATCTAAAGCTAGCAACCAGTAATATCAGTACTAACACAGTTAACATACCAGTAATCTGGATTTTCCATTTTATTTAGGAATTCATCTAATTCGTCTCCTTGTGCTGGTTTTGATATTCGTTTCCCATCCAAATCGTATCCTATATGAGGGTAATCATTGTACCACTGCATGGGAATGTTGCCGACTGTATTGCGGATATCCTGGAAAATAAATTGTTAATTATCACACAAAGTATCTAAGGGATTGGTCAGTTACTTCGGCCTAGGGGGGGTCGGTGGATCAGTAGGGGGGTTATCCTGTTTTTGATTGTGCGAATAGGGGGGGTCACCCTGTTTTTGATATCATGTTTTACAGAGTTCACACACGCTCATGCATATATTTTAAAAAAATTTATTTCAGAACAAACGATAAAAAAGTTAATCGTACAAATCGTACAAATCTTAATAATAACTATTACCTATATTGCTCATAAATTTGTTGATGCAAAAAATGTTATAGGCTAAATATTTTGAGGTTAAAGTTGCCAAATAACTAACAGACTATGCAATGCGGCTAGAACCCCAATTATACAGTTTTAAACACATCCCAAGTCTATGTGCTGCTGATATCAGATTATTTTATTGAAAGTCTTAAGTCACTCACCATTGCATAAGATATTTACTGGATTTATCCATT